CTAGTAGAATAGAAGGTAGAGGTGAGCCTGAAAATTCTGAAAATTGGTGTCAGTTGGGCCTGGGTTAGAATGCCTGCTCTCTACTCTTACTGTGTTCAAGTAGCCCCTGCAAGTTCTTGGCCATGCTGCACTGTCTCATCCCTACCAAACAGATCAAAATGCCTATTTTGGAAAGTTGCTTTGAGGACAGCAAAATATCGAATTAACGAAAACTCTGATAGTGTCTGGCACATTGCGAGATAACAATAAAGGTTAATTATGTCGGATCAATTCTTGTTTATAGATGTTTAAAGAAAAAAATTGAGGAGAAACAAAGCATCACTTTCCAACATCGAAAAAAATTTTTTTCTATTTAAGTAAAGTACTGCCCAACAAACACTGTATTTCAAAAAACAAAACAAACAAACAAACAAAAAACTCATTTTGCAATTAGCCAAGGGCAAAGTAGCTTTTAGGAAAATTTTACTTGAAGATTTTGAAGTCCAGAATTTAACCTTTACATCATTTGGGCTGAATGTTTACTTTTTATGGTTATTTTTGGTATGTTAAATTGTCATCAACACGATATGTTTGAAAGCCACTAATACAACCCTTTATATATTCCAAATAATTCCAACAAGTAGATTGGAAAATGGTTTTCTAATGCAGCTTCCCAATTTCCAATAGTCCTTGATCTACAGGTTTGCTATTAAATGTATCAAGAATATCTGGGAAGTAGAAGGTTAAATATCTTTTTCTTTTTGTCCCAAAGAAGTCTCAGTAATACAAATACACACACAATGCTCATCAAACAACCTGGCTTTTTAAATAGCAAATATGCTAAACTAAAATATCCACATGTTTTATCACCTTCAAAGGAGTCACTTCAAGAAGCTATTAAGTTGTTGAAGAATATCATGATTTCTCACCTTTTTGAGACTTAATTTTGTGTCACTTTCTGAAGGTGTGTGTTTTTTTTTAAAGAACCAGAAGTGCTACATGGGACCAATTCTGTTGAATTAAGTGATCAAGAAAGCAAAATATTCTTTGCTAAAACATAAAATATGACTATAAAATACTGTGACCCATAGTTCAAAGAAATGACACAGCTATGGAATAAAAGTATATACTTATTCCAAATTTTAAAGGGGAAAACTCATTTAAATATGAAAATATTTAAGTGCCCACAAACATCAGCAAAGTGATGCAAGAGTTACAAAGTAATTTTTTGAGCACCAGGGGCAGTGTTGCCTCTTCTGTTCCTGGTTCTAGGCCACAGAGCCTGTAAGACCAAGCAAGTGCCTTTACCTCCCAGAAGCAGACAGGAAATAGAACGGAGCAGAAAAAGTGATGGCTGAAAATTTCCCATAATTTGGCAAAAATCATAAGCCTAGAGATGGAAGAAGCTGAATGAATCCTAAGTAATATAAACCCAAGGAAATCCACACTGAGGACAGCAGGTGATGTGGATAAGTGGCTGGACCCCCACGTAGCTGACTGCAGTTTGAGCTTCATAGCCGGTGGCTTGCTTTCTTACTTTTTCTCTCTCTCCCTCCCTCTCACTCTCTCTCTGGTGAGCACCTATAGCAAATTTTAAAAATAATGCTAGATTAAAGTAAATAAATAATTATTTTTAAAAAATGCTGGGCGCATTTGTGAGTGCTCAAAATCTCAAGAGGAAATTAGAGAAGGAAGAAAGGATTGGGGCATGGCCATCCCCCTAAGGTGTGCTTTCTCACTTTCCCTCTCTCTCTCTCCAGTGAGCACATGCATCTTGTAGCACATTAAAGCCCAGTACTCTTTTAGCACAATAAAAAAAAAAAAAAAAAAAAAAAAAGGAAAAGGAAAAGAACTCTACACCAAGAAGCATCATAGTCAAACTCCTGAAAACTAAGTCAGAGGAAAAAATATTGAAAGTAGCCAAAAAGAAATGCCACTTTACCTGT